TGGGGCTATGGAGGCGATGGCCGGCTGGGCCACGGCGACACTCAGGACCAGCTGCTGCCCAAGAAGACCGAGGCGTTGGCTGGCCAGCGCGTCGTCGCTGTGTTGGCTGGAGGCAACCACAACCTCGCCCGTACCGCCGATGGCGCCGTCTTCACGTGGGGCCAGGGCGAGCGCGGCTGCCTCGGCCACGGAGAGGACCTGTCGAACCAGCTGCTGCCCAAGAAGGTCGAGACGTGGGCGCCGGGGCAGTGAGAAGCCCGCGCAGTTGGACAAGGAGGGGGTGCTCCGGCTTCTCGCGGCGCTCTCAACGAGGAGAGGATTCGGTTCGGCGTCACGGCGGGGCCGAGCCCGAGGGTGGGTGCGGCGGCGGTGGCGGCGGAGGCGGCGGAGGACGAGGCTGGTGTTGGCTGAGGCCGTCGCCGAGGTGGCGACCGCCGAGACTGCGGCGGAGGCTGCTAGGGCGGGGGTGGAGGCGGCGACCGCCGAGGCCAATCGGTCGGCCGTGGCAGCTCGCTCTGATGCGGCGGCCCGGCTCGGCGTTCGCCGGGCTGGTCGGTGACACTCTAGAGGCTGCTCGAGGGCCAGTCCATGTACCTCGCCGAAGCCGCAAACGGCACGCTCCTCTCAGCTGCCGCGGCTCTCTCACCGCCAGGCTCCATCGTGTGCGTCGGATTCATTGGCGACGCGAGCAAGGCGCCGTCTTCTGCACCCTTCCCTTCACTCCGGAGCCCGCGGCGTTCGCTGCCCTTCTGGCGCGCTGCGGTTGGGGAGAGCTGTCATGGGCTCGCTTTGGGGACCCAGCGCTCCACTTTGGGCGCTGGCCTGAGGGCGGGGCGCCCGAAAAAGAATTGCTTTTTATCCTGCGAAAGACACTACTCTCCCCCTCCAGTGAACCCGTCGCTCGTCCCCCTTGGCGTGGCGCGCCTCTCCCCCAGCTGCAGCGCTCTCGGTATCGCGTACTGCACGAGGCTACCGTGGGCCCCGCCTGCGCGCTGGGGGTTCCCTGCCCTGTCGGGAAGCCTAGCTCTTAACCTGGGGTCGCTACCTAATGCGGGGCTCCTGGACGGGTGATGAAGTTCGCCTTGAGTCTCTCGTCTCGCTTTCCCCCCGACTCGCGATTCTCGCGTCCGTCGGGGGTACTCCCTACCCTCTGGCTCTCTGGAGTGCGGGTCAGGAGGCCCTAAAACGGCGGGAGGGGTAGGGGTGCCGCTGTAGGGGTGTGGAGGGGTCGGGAGGGCGGGAGTGTGGACCGTGACCTAAAGCCCTCCACCGGCAGAGGTGTCAGGCGGCAGGGCCCAGGAGGGGTGGGGGCTGGGAGGGCTGGCCAAAAGCGAGGCGTAGGAGGGCTCGTGAGGGCTTGGGAGGGGTGGAGAGCTCGGAGGGGTCGGAGGGCTCAGAGGGCAGAGAGGCACGAGGGTGGCGCTGGTGGGCTCGTGAGGGCTCGGGAGGGCTCACAAGGGATGGAGTGCCCGGAGGGCTCGGAGGGGCGAGCCGCCGAACCGGGCTCGGGGGGCTCGGAGGGCTCAGAGGGCTCGGAGCTCTCGGAGGGCTCCTAGGGCTCGAGAGCTCGAAGCTCTCTGCGCGCCACAAATCGCCGACTTTCTCTCTCTCCCTGCGCGAGTGGTTGCCCCACCGGGGATGAGGCATATGGCCTGGGCAGGGGAGTTGGTAGAGGAAGTCCAACTGAGGCGCGAGGCCCCCAACCGTCCAGTCTGGCGCTGAACTGCGGCCGCCTAACGGGTTGCCGCATTGCGCCCGGCCCCCCACCGCCCTT